ATATATATATATATATATATATAATATACTTTATAGTATAATTGTATAAAAAATAAAAAAGTACATTTTGAAGTCACACTTTGTGGAATGACTACTTATGTTAAACCAATTGTTTTATTATTTTATATATATATATATATAATATACTTTATAGTATAATTGTTTAAAATATAAAAAAGTACATTTTGAAGTCACACTTTGTGGAATGACTACTTATGTTAAACCAATTGATTATTATTTTATTATTAAAAATAATAATAGAACTAAGTGCCGTATACTTCCACAGGAAATGCTAGTGAATACGTGAATATATGAACTGAGTGTGTTAGACTATTGTATGATATTAGATCATCATGGACTGACATCACCGCTCTTTCTTGCTCAACAGTGGCATTTTCCACCAAACCCAAACATCCATCAGTGATTCCCACTACTGAGAAGAAGACAAAAAAAGGAAAAAGGAAGGGCAAAGGAAAAGGCAAGGGAAGAAAGAAGAACCCCTGCCTGGAGGAATACAAAGATTTCTGCATTCACGGAGTGTGTCAGCATCTGAAGGAGTTGAACACTCATTCTTGTGTGTGAGTTTCATACAGTTCTTTAGTTTTTTCCAGTTCTTGTTCAACAAATTAAGGACATCTTTTGTTTTAGGCTTAACCTTTACTTTTATTCATCTAGCAGTATCCAAAGCTGCTTACAAATGAGGGAAAAAAACAAGCAGTTAATCATATAAAGGCCCCCAATATCAGCAATATTACAATATACAGTTTGAATAGTAGATCAGAATAGCACAAAATTAGAGCAGAAAAAGAGTAGAATGATAAAAGATAACAGAATTATTGCTTTTACAGAATAGGAATTTAATCTAAATGAATATCTGAATAAATGAATGAATGAATGAATTAATTTATTTGATATGATTCTCCTGTTGTGCGGTTGAACTAATTTTGATCTTTTGGATGGTCTTTCTTACAGTTGTAAAGCAGGATACTCGGGAGAGAGATGCCATATATTTACCCTACCAGTTGGTAAGGAGGAACCGCGTTACAGCCGGACCACAGCTCTAGCGGTCATAGCTGTGGTCCTATCCCTCATGTGTCTTGCAATCATCGCTATTCTGCTGGCACTAAGGTGAGTTACCATGAATCAGCATTATATTATTCTTAATTATTAAACCATTGATGTTTTACAAAATTCCTTCGATATTCAGCATGTTTTTCTTACAGGTACCACAAAAAAGGTGATGCTGATGTAGAAAGAGAAGAAAAGGTCAAACTTGAAGCAACGTCAGTACAGAAGTGATAAGGGAAGAAAGGTAAATAGTTCTCAATGAATGGCCAGATTTTATTTGTTTCTTATTCAAATTAATACAAAATAATATTTATTACTGTTTTACAGGGCGAAGAAAGCCAAAAGGACATGTGACCCATGGATAGATAGCCCCCGTTCAAACTGATCCTATGCCCTTGATGTCCTGCAGTCATGGTGGCTGTCTAGACTGGCATGAAGGATGTTTTGAATGCTGCTTCCATGTGCAGTACAATGTCCTTATCAATGTATTCCCCTTGTGGAGAACATACTGAGAGGACTGAGCCGAATGAATGTATTGCGACTTTAATCAAGTTGCTTTTTTGTTTGTTGCTTATTTATTTATTTCAAAAAGGGTGTTTCTGGTTCCCTTTCCAATGGTCTCTCCCATTGCGTATACATGCTTATGGGGGAAACTACTGTTTACTCTTGGTACTGAAGCCTGATTTGTTCACGTTCGTGTACCTGCACAAACAAATGGTGCTTCAACCCACCAAAAGGGGGGGAGCCAACTACTATACAAGTCTGCTCAGAGTGCCATTCGTCAAAATGTTCTCCTTCAGCGACTCCTTGCTGGACTCTGAAGCAAGAAGCCGACGCCGAAGCTGACGCTAGAAGCCGGAGCTCAGCAGCTCGCCGTAGACCAGCCCCTGGCAGCGGAAGATCGCTGAGCTCCTTCCCCTGCGGCCATCCGGCAACTTAAAAGAGCAAATTCTGAGCAAATTTCAAAAGCAGATAGGCACGGTGAGTGTGTCGCTTGACTGGGCTGCGCTCACCGGGACTGATTACCCTAATTGCGAGAGCTTCGCTCTCGGATCGTCTTTTTCAACAGAGGCAGTCCTCCACAGCCTGCTTCCTCGTTTCTCCCCACCCAGGAGCCTCGGAGGAAGAAACATCGGGGCAGCAGGACTTAAAGGGATAGTTCACCCAAAAATGAAAATTAGCCTGTGTTTTACTCACCCTCAAGGCATCCTAGGCGTGTCTGACATTCCTCTTTCAGACTAACACATTCAGAGTTATATTCGAAATTGTCCTGTCTGTTCCAATCTGTATAATTGCAGTGAATGGTGCCCCTGTTTCTGAATCCAAAAAAAGAGTATCCATCCATCATAAAACTACTCCACACGGCTCCGGGGTGTTAATAAAGGCCTTCTGAAGTGAAACGATGCATTAGTGTAAGAAAAATATAGATTTTTAAAATTTATATACTGTAATCTCCAGCTTCCAGTCGCTCAAGCAGGTGCATTCATGACAAGGCCTTCGAGCGTATGACGTAGACATAGCGGAAGGCGCAACGTAAACTCTAGGGAGAAGAGTGTAGTTTTGCGAGAATAAGCTCCAGGAAGAAGAGTGTAGTCTCACAAGAACCAAGTTTTGTTTACAGCACAGGGAAACCACATGAACTATATCTGTAGTTTGTGCCACCGCCGCAGCCTCCTCCATCTCGCATTCCTGGTCGGTATACTCGAGTTCAAACAAATATGGCTGGGCAAAAAAAACTCATTCTCCTCTTGCCTTATATCGAAATCCTCCGTCATTTTTCACTCAGAATCTTCGTTTTGTAGTACTAGTTCATGACAGGTGTTTTGTTTTGCTTTCTCCTCTATGCTTCTGCGTTCGTTACTCTCTCCCCAGAGCTTAAGTTGCGCCTTCCACTACACCTACGTCATGCGCTCAAAGGCACGCCTTGTCATGAACGCGCCTGCTTCAGCGACCGGAAGCTGGAGATTACAGTCTATAAATGTTTAAAAATCTATATTTTTCTTACACTAACACATCGTTTCGCTTCAGAGGGCCTTTATTAACACCCCAGAGCACGTGGAGTAGTTTTATGATGGATGGATGCACTTTTTTTGGGCTTCAAAAACAGGCACCATTCACTGCCATTATACAGCTGTCACGGTGCACACACACGAGGAACACGGGCACGAAGGAGCGAGGAGACACGGAGTAGAATCAATCAAAAGGGTTTTATTAACAAAGGCTGGGGATCACAGGACTCGACACATCAGGACGACAGGATGACGTTCAACGACTGACAAAGGACAAGAACTAGAACACACTTTAAATACACAGGAACTGATCAGCAGGAATCCCCTGGGCTCAAGTGATGTCATGCTGGCTCAAGTCCCATGTACCTCACTCTTCCCGCAGCACCTCGATTCGCTGGTGTGTTTCACACGTGAGGACCAGCGCCCCTCTATGTCATTGACGGCCTCTGACACAGAGGACTGGGCATGTCCCGGTGAGGACCCGGACCCCCTCCCTTCCTCTCAACCAATATGGCCCAGCGTGGACAGCGAGCTGATCTGCCTTTTTCATGAAGGCACGCCTCCTATTCAGCTCGTGCTAACTCTTCCACTTCTGCTGCTCTCACCTCTGTTGATGGTGCTGAAGAAAAAGGATACAACAAGCTCCCACTCATTTGTGCCCTCCATCAGCTTTGGGGGTAAAAGCCCATGCAGTGCATCCGTCTAAGCCCTGCAGAACGACCTCCGCTCTGGCGAATAGAGCCTATGTAGCGGTTGGCCAGGCTAGCTCAGCGCTTCAAAAGATGGCTGTGCTACAAGTATTTCAGGCCAAACTCCTCCATGGTATGGATGAGTCTGGACAGAATCCTGAGGCCTTCAAAGAACTGCGCACAGTGACTGCCCTGGCTCTGCGCACTAAAAAGGCCACTGCGCAGGCGATCGTCAAGGCCATAGCCAACGTGGTGCTGGAGTGCCACCTTTGGCTTAACTCAACTGAAATCAGGGACGCTGACAGAGTCGCTCTCCTGTCTCTCCAAAGGGACTGTTCGGCCCAGCCGTGGATGGATTCACTGAGCGTTTTACAGCAGCTCAGAAGTCCTCGCAAGCTATGCAGGACTTCCTGCCAAAACGTTCCAGTTCGGTGGCTGCTACAAGTCACCAGAAGGCTCCATCCACTCAACAGCCTGCCAAAGCTGCGCCATTAAAGTCCCAGCCTCCTCTGAGATCTGAGCCTGGGCTTGAACAGTGCTTCAAGATGGTGAAACGATTTCCATTTCCGAAACGCCAAGGACCCCACCCACATTTGACGCTGGATCCTGAGCCTCAAAAGCTGTCCTGATCAGCAAGAGAGGAAGAGGAAAGGGCTAAGTCTCGCAGAGGCTGGATTTCCCTCAAAGAAGGCTCATGTCTGCTTTCCATTCCCCAGCCTTGTAGGCGATGGAAGCTCTGTTCTAACTGGACCCGCCCTTCAGCCCAATAAAATTACTGCTGTGACAGCGGACCCACATACTCAAAAGAGCAATTCTCCACTTCTCACTGCCATGGCGGTCAGTTCCCTACCCCATAGTGGCAATCTGCCAATCGAAAAGCTAAAACCACTGTCCATCTGGCTTCAGGCTTGGAAAGCTATCCCGGATGTGTCAGGTTGTATTACCTTGACGACTGGCTGTTGCTAGCCAGGTCGGAGCAGGAACTTATCGCTCACATATCGTTGCTACTCAACCATCTAAAGCAACTTGGGCTAAAGATCAATTTAGCCAAGAGTTCTGTCAACCAGCCAGTGAATCGTCTTCCTGGGGACAGTGTTCGATCCAGCCCAAATGACATGCTGTACAGGGGCAATGTAGCTCGCCCGGTTCAAATGATCTGGTCTGTCTTCTAGAGGGCAGAGGTAGACCCCTTCGCCTAAGAAGACAACTTTTACTGCCCAATTTACTTTTTGAAGCACCAAGATACCCGGGCCCACGATTGGCCCTGCGCTCACTTGTATGCCTTCCTGACTGGTGTACAGCACGCAGCCTGGACCCGTCCTCTTGTGACGTGCCACACGTGCTAACCTTTTTACAAGAGTTGCTGGATAAAGGACGCACCCAATGTTCCACACTCAAAAGTTTATGTGGCAGCCATCGCAGTGAATCATGCTCTCGTGGCTGGCCAATAAGTCAGTAAAAATGACCTGGTCGTTAAATTTCTGAGGGGAGCTTGGAGGTTGAACCCGCTTCGTCCTCACTCTGTGCCGACTTGGGACTTATCTATAGTCTTTAGGGCCCTACGAGTTCCTCCCTTTGAACTGCTCCAGTTGGCTGATTTGTGGCACCTGTCGCTCAAGACCACCCTCCTCTTGGCATTAGCATCGGTCAAGTGCCTCATGTCTTGAGTTTGGGTCTAACGACTGTAAAGTCATCCTCAAGCTAAGACGCGGCTATGTGCCTAAGATGCTCTCAACCCTGTTTAGAGCACAAGTTATTACCCTTCTAGCTCTTCCTAGTTCAGTGGACGAGCAGGGTCCCAATCCACTCTGCCCTGTTAGGGCTCTTAGAGTGTATGTTGAGCGCTCTGGCCCGATTCAACACTCGGAGCAGCTCTTTGTATGCTTCGGAGGCTGCTCCAAAGGGCTGCCGGTTATGAAACAATGACTCTTGTTGGATAGTCGATGCTATAGCCCTGGCTTATGCCACAGAGGGCTCACTGCCCTATTGGGGTGAGGGCCCACTCCACTCGAGGAATGGCCTCCTCCTGGGCATGGTCCAGTGGGATCTCTATTGGCGATATCTGTGCGGCCGCCGACTGGTCGTCCTATGTAGGTTTTACTATGTAGTCCCCAGCGAGTTAAGCTCGGGGCTCATTCATACTCATGCTTCTTAAGGGCCCTTATTTCGACACGCAGAGCTTCTTAGTTATGCAATTACTTATAGCACAGTGCTATTTGGATGTGTTCCTCATAAGAGTATATACGCAACGGGAGAGACCGTTCGAAAGGGAACGCTCCGGTTACTAACGTAATCTCGGTTCCCTGAGATAAGAGAACGAGCGTTACATAAGTTGCCTTGCTATAAGTCTGCACGCGAGACGATGGCTGCAGCTGACAGTCGAAAGATTCTGATGGCTTTGAGCCAACTTATATAGTAGTCGGCTCCTCCCCTTTTGGCAGGTTGAAGCGCCATTTGTTCATGCAGGTATACGAACTTGAACAAATCAGGCTTCAGTATCAGAGTAAACAGGAGTTTCCCCCATAAGCGTGTATACGCAACGCTCGTTCCCTTATCTCAGGGAACCGACGTTACGTTTGTAACCAGAGCGTTTCTCCCATCAGTCTAAATCTATAGTACTGTCGGAAACACCACAAAGCACTTGTAATTATTTATTTATAATGTATTGGTTATTTATTTTGATATGTAACAATTTTGTGTACTGAATGCACTGTTAGTTTTGTATATGTGTTTTTATTGTATAGATATTTATTATTGATAGATACAATCAAATAATAATAGGGCTGAAGTTGCATAACAGACTGTACAATCACATATGGAAGACCCTCCAGTATAGTTTTAATAATATTATAGCTAAACTGTGAAATAAACAGATTTGTGGAGCTCTAAAAATGCAATCAATTAAATCACATACTGTGGAGGAATGTCTGACACAGGGCTTTGTAGGTATATCCATTACTGAGAAAGTGTAGCTTAAATTAAGTTAAATAAAATAGAATATGTGTATCAAAATATTTTTAAGTACTGTGTATAGTATAAAATAACATGATTTCATTTAATAATTGTAAGCAATAACCAAATATTTTCAACCAATGAAATTACTGTTTCACTTTAATAAACAATTGTTTAAAAAACATTGTGACTGTCTGTGATCTTATTTTAAGTGTTTATATTATTATAATATATAATGTATGTTATAATATTTGTTGTAGCATATTTGTCTTGTAATCTTTTTTTTTTTTTTATAAAGTTTAAAAAATTGAGAGGTCACTGGGGTGGGAATGAATATGTTGTGTTATGTTATGTTGTGGTATACATCTCATATACATTTGTATATGTATTGGTATACGTCTCATGGAATGTGCATGTGCTGGTTGGTTTACTATAGTTTGTCTCCTGGATGGCAGAAGAAACAAAATAAAGTGACTCCTTGAGCCATAGTGCAGAACATACATGACTTTACAAGACAAAACAACATGTTAACATGTTAATAATTACAGATATTTTCTTGAAAAATGTAGCACTGAATTGAAACATTCCAGATGTAGTGCAAAACTGGCTGTACAAATGGAAAAGACAGCATTGGCTTTTGAAACATTACACTTACATTATTATTCACAATAAATATAAAGTCTTGCACACGTTTAATATCTTATGCACCGAGCCATTCCTGTGCTACACTATTTTAAGACTGATGCTGTTTCTATAAACCTACCGTGCTGCCTATCTAGAGAGCATTTTTGAGAACCAGCCGTCTGTCCGAAACCGAAAATGCTGTCCAGGCGAGAGGGGGTCTAGGCAGACCTTTCACTAGCATTCGCGACCATCTTGCGCATGCGCAGTGCCTCATTCTACTCAGCATCATGGCGGCTCCCATAGACCTCGAGTTGAAAAAGGTAAACGAGGGTATACAGATTTATTAATAGAAACTAAACGGGTTTAATGCTTCGTCATTATAAATTAATCGAGTAAAGAGTTTTTAAACTCGGGTAGATTAGAATTATGGCATGGAACTGTAAAAGCGATGTGATATAACGTACCAATATGCAACTTCGGTGCACTAGAATGCTTTTCAGTTTTATTAACTTATTCTTGGTATAAAGTCAAAATATCATAGACATTATACTTTTAGTACTGTGAATTCCTTTACTACTGTAAACCCTTTATAAATTAATATGTATACATACATCAAACGATGTACGAAGCTTTCAAAATATAGCCGTCATTTTGGTTATTTAATGTTTACTTTTTTGCTAATTATTCGTAACTGCGATATTTTTTGATGAAATGTATGATTAAAATAAAAAACCTTCTGCAAAAAGGTTTAAAGAGTAATGTAAATTTTCAGTAATTTCTGCACTTTAGTCCATATGGTTGAGTTTGTAGTATATAGAACAACCCTTCTTCAGGTACTTCTATAATAACTTTCTCATTCACATCCAATAAAACATTTTTAAAGGCATGAGAAAAGTCGATGATATTGCATTTAAGATCTCATTTAACTCAAACTGCAATCCTCACATCTGTATGCCACAGGCCTTTGCGGAGTTGCAGGCTAAAATGGTTGACACCCAGCAGAAGGTGAAGCTGGCAGACCTGCAGATCGAACAGCTGAGCCGCATGAAGAAGCACGCCAACCTCACGCACGCAGAGATCACATCGCTCCCTGACAGCACTCGCATGTATGAGGGAGCAGGACGCATGTATGTACATTTTGTTGCTGTAAAATCTGCCCTAAATTAGTTTTTTTTTTTTTTTACTCTGTTGTTCACTGTTTTGACCATCTTCTCACTTTTTCCAGGTTCATTTTACAGTCAAAAGATGAGATTGCCAATCAGCTTTTGGAAAAGCAGAAGACGGCAGATGAAAAGGTCAAGGAGCTTGAGGTAAGTTAGGATCACAAAAAAAAAAAAATGTAAAGCGTCTCTCTCAGTTACACATTGTCATGCATCTCAAAACTTTGTTACTTCTCAGGAGTACTGATTTACATGTTTACATCTGGTATTAAAATACATGTTGAGATCCAATCACAAGTGTTCAGTACAGGTGTAAACAAAGTCTTGTTTTGGACCTAGTCACTGAAACCACATTTTAGGGGTGTTGCATGTGGCACATACATTAGTGTAAATGCTAATGTGTAATTGTCTAATCAACCACTGATACAATGTCAACGTTTCACAGTTTGCTGTTTATGCATCATCTTGAAAAATATGATAGAATTCCATACATATACAGATTACACAGAACAGCTTCAGTATGCCATATGCAGTGACACAGATAATTCTCTTGGGGTAAAAGTTAAGTTAACTAAATGTAGATCATATCTGAAATTCATTTAATGAATAATAACTGAGTATTCCATTTTAATCATCATATTTGTGTTTAAAAAAATAGCAATGATAAAATTCAGATATATTTTTATAGTATATTATTTGTGTTTTATAATATAAATATATTTTATTAATAATAATATTAGTTTATTATTCTGTGCTTTATCTGTGCATTTATAATGTTATGAAAGATTTCGGTTTCAGACAAAATGTGTCACGGTTCACACAAAAGTATTAGGCAGCACATCTGTTTTTAACACTGATTATGGAAAAAAAAAATTTTTGAGCACCAAATCAGCATATTAGAATTATTTCTGAAACAATATTTCACAATATTCCTGTTTTGCTGTATTTATGATCAAATAATTGCAGTCTTGGAGGGCATAAGAGACTTCTTTAAAAATCCCAACCCCAAACTTTTGAACAGTAGTGCACATGCATTGATACAGTGACAGTGATGTATGCACTCATGAAAGGAAAACTCCCCAGTTTGATGAAATCCAATCACAAGTGGTCCAATGCGTTTGAAGTGCATGTGGTGTAAGCAGTAATGCGATTAGGTCGACCACTTGTGATCAAATCACCCAAGACGGATGTTAATACCAGGTGTAAACCGAGCCAATGTCTTGTATTTGTAGTTGTATTGTAGAAATTTGTGAATTTCAAAAAGAAGGTGTCAAAACTGTTAGCTTGTTCAATTGCTTTGTCATGGTTCTATTACAAAGATGACTAAAACCATCAGAAGTAGAAAGTTTAGACAATTCATAAAATGTCTATGCAAAGAAAAAGACTAAATGTATTTTTATTAATGACACTGGACCACTTTTAAATAATGTTTTATGCAAATTAATGTATAAATAGTATTTTGATGCAGAAAGATCTTATGTTTTTGTTGTGTGTGTGTGTGGCTTTAAGTGTTTACACGGAAGCTATGCTCAGTTTCTGTTTCTTTAAAAACCCACATGCTTGTGCGGTTATTTTTTCCACTGAGACATGTTTGCATGCTTCTCCCACAGTTTTGCAAGTACACTCAGAATTTCACATTTGGTGTTTGTGGGCAGAAGCCCCCAGTGTTGTTTTAGCTCCTCGGTGCATTCAGGGGGAGGTATATGTGCGGTTAAAATAATGGGCATACATCGCAGCGTTCCCGTCACTAAGGTAAAGCCACATGAGCTACATAGCCCTCATGATATACTTATCTTCTCATAAACATTCACATGCTGCATGTTATATTATTTGTGCTGTCATCCTTTTGCCTGGACCTGTGCTTCATTTGGCATAAAGTCCTTATTTGTGGACAATGTACAGCCAAACCCCCAGGTTTGTTTTTGTAAAATACTGCCTAAAGTTTTTATGAAATTCATAGTCCACTGACAGTCATTTTAGCCAATGAGAAAGCTGCACTGGAACTTAGTAGGTGGTCTGAGAGAAACTGTGAAAGGGCTGATGTATTCATTCTTGATTTGACTTACCAAGAACTCATTGTAAGGAAATTGTGATGACAAATGTCATCGTGATCATCTACATGTGGGCCTCTATGAAAATGACTGATGCAATTGATTCAGTGTCACATCATGTTTCTCCTTTTGTGGGGTGTTGATAATCGTAGATGTTGTCACAGGTTTTGGTCTCACCAGCATCGAATTTAAATGATCTGCTCTTTCGAAGTTCCTTTGAAATTGGATTGCTTGTTTGTTCGTTTTTTGAGGGATTTCTGATTGTGTCCTAATGTAGCATAGACATTATGAAATGGGTAGAGTCCAAGGTGGCTGTAGATGAAATTTTTTTTTTATATATATATATATATATATATATATATATATATATATATGTGTGTGTGTGTGTG